ATGCATATGTGAAACTGTCTAGATCTAAAGGTGAATACAGCCAGTTTCAGCCAATGTGATAACTCAGAGGAAAGACTCTGTGAATGAGAAGTGAGGCTTACAACTAATATGTTTAGGCTTGTTGTAAAGAACCTGGGGCTTCCTACAGCTGTATATTTGTGTCATGTTGTATTCCCTCTTCTGTTTATGACAAGTTACTGCTTTAATTCAGTTATTTGTACTATTTTATACAGTATTAAATGTGCTGTTGTTTTTATTATGGATGTATCTGTTAATGGAATAGTTATTTATAATTATTTCTATTTAAATAAAACAATTATATGATGTGTAGTATGACCCACTTAACTGTGGGGGATGTGTTTCCAGAGGTTTGTGTAGATATGTGAAACTGGATAAAAGAGAAGCCTATTGAAATGAAGGACCTCTGTTCCAGTAATACCAGAATCGTACAAGGTCCTAGAAAATGTTTAAAGAGGACATATTTTGCCAGATATGCATAAATGAACCTGAGGCTGTATTGTTGAAGGCTTTCATGGCTGGAATCACTCAGTTCTTGTGGGGTTTTTTCGGGCTATATGGCCATGTTCTAGAGGCATTTCTCCTGACGTTTTGCCTGCATCTATGGCAAGCATCCTCAGAGAAACGTCAGGAGAAATGCCTCTAGAACATGGCCATATAGCCCAAAAAAACCCACAAGAACTGAACCTGAGGCTATTGGTAATACAGATAAAAAGTTCATACTGTAGTTCATTTTATATACCATAAGCCATTTGGGGCAAAATTACAATTGTATGGAGTTAATATGCAGTTGGTAATAAAACAGCAAGAACCTATGGTACTGTAAGAACTAATCAATTCATTATATTATAAGCTTATAGTCATTATATTTATTATATTATAAGCATAATTATAAGCTTATAGTCTGCTCCATCCATGCTTAAAATATTGCCCAGTATTTCACTGTTATTGTAATTGTTCATTGCATTCTTATGTTTTGTATTCATTGCTTATTGTATTCATCATGTTTTTTTTTATTTTACTGTGTTGTTGCTTGCGTTTTGTTTTTTTTTATTTTATGGTATTTTACTGTATTGTAATTTGCTGTTTGGGTTTGGCCTCATGCAAGCCGCCCCGAGTCCCCGTTGGGGGAGATGATGGCGGGGTATAAATAGAGATGATGATTATTATTATTATTATTATTATTATTTACAAACACAATAAACATAGTTGGATATGGAATTATAGACAGTGAGATCAGGGGAAAATATATGCACAAGTACTGACAGTACATTTGATTGAGTGGTCTAATGTTTCCGAAATCTCATGCTGTAATAAATGTGTAAGACTTCAAGATGCACAATACTCAGACATACTACTGTCAATAATTTCCAATATATTTATTTATTTATTTTTAATTTATTGTTACATGAGTTGGAGGCTCCTTCTTTGGAGGCTTTTAAACAGAGGCTGGATGGCAGTCTGTCGGGAATGCTTTGAAAGTGATTTTCCTGCTTCTTGGCAGGGGGTTGGACTGAATGGCCACATGGTCTCTTCCAACTCTATGATTCTATTTGTTGTACCAGATTAACATTATCTCTTCTTTGGGAATTAGCAAAACTAGTTCTTAAACAAATAGCTCAGTGATGGGGCACATGTATTAATGGTTTGATTCTTGACTTCTGCAGGTAGGTTAAAAAAAAGAAAACAAATTGAATGAGCTGCTGTCAATCCATGTGCAGACAATACAGATTAACAAATTGTTTAACCCAACATAAGGCAGCTTTTTAGGACAGGAGGGTATCTCCACTGCATTAGCACTTTGAGTCCCTCCTTTTGAGCTCATTGGACTACATGAAGAGCTGGTCCTATATTTGTCTACAATAAAGTAAGCCTCATAGAATCATAGAATCATAGAATCAAAGAGTTGGAAGAGACCTCATGGGCCATCCAGTCCAACCCCCTGCCAAGAAGCAGGAATATTGCATTCAAATCACCCCTGACAGATGGCCATCCAGCCTCTGTTTAAAAGCTTCCAAAGAAGGAGCCTCCACCACACTCTGAGGCAGAGAGTTCCACTGCTGAACGGCTCTCATGAAATTCTATAGTTATTCCCAGCTAAACGTGTATAGGATTGCAGCCCCTGCTGTTTTATAGCCCGCGTACTTGAGGAAATGCACATCTCTCTTCTGTTTAAATACATAGGGGCAATAGTAACTAACCTTTTGAGGAAAGGCTTTGGCTGCATGGGTTCTAGATGAAGCTATTAAAGGGCAAGGAAGTCTTGGCCTCCAGACATTTGAGCTTCCAGCACCCAGAAGCCCCAGTCAGCATGGTTAATACTATGGAACATTTTGGCAGTTGTAGTCTCAAACATTGACGGGGCAATATTTATCCAGCTGTATTGTGCAATTCAGTACACCACCCATATCCACAGGACTGGTAACTGTAGTTTCAATTATCTATATCTGTCAAAATATGTCATCTCAAGACATTTTCTATGTCTTCCAGACCTATGGTATTCTTGGGCTGGAAGTCCTAAATTTCAGTGGAGTTTGGTATTATCTGCCGTTTGGTGTATACACACAAAGCCCAGGAACATATCCCCAATGGATACAGAGTTTGAACTGTATACTTTTATATAAACTGAGTTGGTTATTTTGCATGCCGGCTTTCCTGATAATATCATTCATCTAACAGAATCAATTGGTAGCAATCACAAAGATCCCACAACACAAAAGCAAAGGGGAAATCCTATGAAAATGATCCTTCAGCTGTTCTACACAACATATATCATTACTGCATTATTGTGCAATACACTTGAATGGTGTGCTTGCTTCCATGAGTGGAGATGCCCTCAACTTACAAATATGAAGCATCTTTTCTAAGGCCATTTTAGAATAAATACAGCTTGTTATTTCAGTTTGCCTTGCTAGGGATCAAAGGCATCTAATATTTCAAATAGGGTGAGAAGGATGTCGCCTCTGAAATAATCTTTTATCTTTCCTTCAGGAAAAATAATGTTGGAAGAGTTTGCTTCCTAAAGCAAGATTATCTTCTTTTTTTCCTTTTGGCACAATATTTCTCTTTCTAAAATTCAGGTACAGCCTATAAAGAATAGTGTAACACCAATGTTCTTATGCAACAAGGTATTACATTTATATGTTTATCACTAGCTGGACTCTATCGTTACTTCAATATCTGTTGGCATTAAGTACTCTTTAATAATGTTTTGTTTAAGGATTAATCCAAGACTGCGATATACGTTTCTCCATCGCTTCTCACACTGGTACATTTACATTACAATTATATTGTTCAATCCACCCCTTTAATTAGTTTTAATGTTTATTGATTATGATCCTTTTAATGGTTTTGTTATTACTTAAAGTACTGTTTTTCTCCTTTTCTTTTGCTGAACAAGCAATTAAGTAAGTATGTGCATGTGTTGTTTAAACATGGTTGTTTAAACAAGCATTCGACTAATCTGTGGCAATCGAATTCTGGTGACTAAGGACAGGAAAATATGGACAACGAATTCTGGATTATGATTTTAATTCGAGATATATGGGATTATTATTGGTGGCCCAATAATTTGTATTGTATGTGTATATGTTTTTAAATTGTAGATTGTTTTTTAATTGCTGTAAACCGCAATGAGTCGCCGATCCAGGCTGAGATATTAGCGGTATACAAGTGTATTAAATAAATAAATAAATAATAAATGTGTGTGTTTCAAATTGCCAGTCAACTCATGCCAATCCCAAGAATTTAAAAGAATTTTCTTACACAAGGAATACGTGTCTAAGAAAATAATAAAGAGATGGTTTTGGAAGTCCCTTCCTCTGAAATATAGCCTGGAGCACCCGGTATTTGTTGGTGATTCTCCCATCCAAGAACTAACCAGAGCTTCCCAGACAAATAAGAACTGGTGCGCTAATTAATACATACACAGCCTGTTACATTTTTTTTTTTTGGTTTCACACAGTGATGCTGTTTTAAAGGAAGTATTTAGTTTTCACCCTGTCCACACAAATGGACACAGAGATACACATATACAACTCAAGAGAAAATGATTCTTTTCAATAGGTAGCACTCAAGGCCTGGCCCTTTTTTTCTGAATGTGATGCCCTGCCTGAGCATCTCTCGGTGTCATCTGCCCAACAGACATCCCAATGGCATTATCGGTCGTACAGGAGGGGTGAGCCGGCTGCTCAATATATCTCCTCTGTTCTGCAGCCAAGACAAACACAGTAGATTTACTCACCATTTTTTAACCAATCAAACACACGTATTAAATCCCCCCTAATCCATAACCAGTGCTGTGCAGTCCATGGCTCAACTTCCCAGGAGTTTGGATAAACGCTAAAGTTTGGAAAAGGGAAGGAGGGAGGGAAAGCGGGGAGCTCCAACAAAACCTATAAGTATTCCCTGCAAAGCATGACACACAAGGCTGGAAATAAATGTTGCCTAATGTTTCAAATTATTCTAAGCACTTCAATAGATGGACTGACAGAGGGTAGCATATGTAAGTTATAACAAAAGTAAACACATCAATTTTAAATCTCCACTTTGACTGTCTTTGTGCTGTCCCACTGCAATGAGACAAAGGCAGTGATGGAGATGCCCTCAGCTCCCTTTTAAATACATATAATGTTTCAGCATTTCTCTGTACTACTTCAGTTTCTGGTGAAATGAGAGCGAGTGAAAAGCCATAAAGAAAAAGCCACCAGTGAAGACACAAAATGACAACAATCATGTTAAAGGCAGCAGTGCTGTTGGTTTCTAGTTAAAGGCTCACTAGCATCATCTTCAGAAGGTACACATTTAAAGATTGGCTGGCAATAAAAAGATGTAGGCAGTGAATCTTTAAACCTAGAATGCATTAACAGTAAAAAAATAATAAACTGTTTAAAGAGCATGGGGTAGTCAAAGAAACCAATTGTTCTCATTTAGGATCTGGAATATTGTGGGTTCTGTACAAAAACCCTTGCATGCTTGCTTACCTTTGCAAAATGTGCTGCTCCTTCCCTCTTCTGGACTCCTAAAGCGAGAGCTAAAAAGAGGTCTTGTTACTTCCAAATGCTTTTGTTCTTCTGTCCCCCGTCACATGGCTTGCCTTTTATATTTGCAACACACAAAAGTTAGGGCTGTTGTTTAAGAGAGAGAGAAAGAGAGACAGAGAGGGAGAGAGAGAGAATGTCAAATGGAAAAGTGCCATTGCAGTCATATATCAATCAGGCTCGCAGCGGCAGCAGCTCACAAGCAAATGGGAATTCCACAGAAACGCAAAGCTCTTGTTATCTGAGAAATCACTAAACACCACCAGTCGAGCTCCCTTCGGCAGGGACTTCTCATTGGAGAGCTGAAACCCTGGATGCAAATACACAGAGATTCAGGATGTCTCCTTTTTATGGCATGCAAGGCTCCAGCGTTCAGGTCCAAATTCAATTCTGCCACAAATAAAAAGGGATTTGAGGCTGGATAACTGGACCACCACAGGGCAGTCTCATTCAAGTTCCTGCTAACCATGTGAAATGTCAAAGGAAAAAGGGGGATATAAGTCTATCTCTGTATCTCCGGCACAGCTTCTTTCACACAGGCATTATTCACATTTATGGGACAAGTCAGGTTTTGTCTAAAGAACAACTGGGGTGATTTTCACTGGATTTATGGCTTGGATCCTAAATGTGATGTGCCCTGACTTACTGCAGTTCATCAGACAAGATATATGATGTTGCCCCATCATCAAACCTGAATGAATAGCCGTGCATTTTCGAGTTTCCCAAACGCTTCTCCCGACCACTTTGAATGTTCATTTTATTAAAATCAGAACAACAAAATTAGTTCACTGGCATTAATGTCTATTTGTCTAGCATTTTGTTTCTTATATTTTCTCTCATCTGCACTCTCTCTATTAAATATAAAAGCATGCATTATTTTCTCATTTCTTTTCTTGCTTAAGTGTTATTGCACCAAAGACAAAATGGCAAATATCCATTTTCAGTGTTGATAAAGTTGAAATGTAGAAAATGCCCCAGATGCAGCACATCTTTTAAGTTAGATTTATCTGTCCTCCAATAAATAAATAATAAATAAATAATGGAAGGTGCTGAACAGACTGCGCCTTGGCACTACAAGATGCAGAGCCAACCTTAAGAAATGGGGACACAAAGTGGAGTCCACAACATGCGAGTGTGGAGAAGAGCAAACCACTGACCAACTATTACAATGGAGCCTGAGCCCTGCCACATGCACAATGGAAGGCCTTCATATAGCAACACCAGAGGCACTCCAAGTGGCCAGCTACTGCTCAAAGGACATTTATTATAATGCCAAGTTTTTTTAAACTTTGTATTTTTAAAAAATACATTACAGCTGTACTCTCGATTTGCTTCTGATATGATAAATAAATAAATCCTCCAATGAGTTTGAGTACTGTCTGTGTATCTCCTGCCCCTTCAGTTCTTTTTAGAACAAGTCTATGCAGTATGTCAGGCAGAGAGAAAGGCACTGGCTGAGACATTACCCAAGAAGTTACATTCAGAAAAATATTCCTTGATGGGTTGTTGTTGGTTTTTTTGTCATGTCAAGAGTGACTTGAGAAACTGCAAGTTGATTCTGGTGTGAGAGAATTGGCCGTCTGCAAGGACGTTGCCCAGGGGATGCCTGGATGATTTGATGTTTTTATCATCCTTGTGAGAGGCTTCTCTCATGTCCCCGCATGAGGAGCTGGAGCTGATAGAGGGAGCTCATCTGCCTCTCCCTGGATTCGAACCAGCAACCTGTCGGTCTTCAGTCCTACCGGCACAGGGGTTTAACCCACTGTGCCACCGGGGGCTCCAGAACTGCTTGATGATGGAATATTCTGCTACTTCGGATGGTGGTGGAGTCTCTTCTTGGAAGATTTAAGTAAAGGCTGGATGGCCATTTGTCAGGAGTGCTTTGATTGTGTATTTCTGCATGGTAGGGGGTTGGACTGGATGGCCCTGGGGATCTCTTCCAACTCAATCATATTTGATTATATGGCTTATTTGGGACCTGAAACACGCATGCCTGTATGTCTATGCAACTTCTGAGATTGTGAGGGAATTTATAAAATCATGCTCTTCACTTGTCGAATCACAGATAGGATAGTCTTTGTTATACTGTCACAGCCCATTCACTTTCCCAGCATAGTTCTACGGTGTCTAGAGAATCAATGATACCACACAAATGACAACAAAGCAATACAGCTAATTAAAAGCAAAAAATTGGGCTCGAGGCTAAATAAACAGGAGGAAATCTTTCCATTCACAAGTACTATATAAGTAGAAAGTTGGACTCCTAAACAGGCAGACATCCTGAGTGAATGCCATCACAAGTCCCTTTAGAGCTGGACAGCCTGGGTGTTGTTAATATCGAAGCCTCTTATGTGGTAAAAGATCAAAAGACAGATGGAAATGATGCTATAAAAATAGACTCCTCTGAAAGGGGAATGGCGTGTAGATGAGTAAGCATAGTGCACACAACAAAGGAAACATATTTTGGCTTGATCGGTACAGTCTGCTTTGGCTGGAAGGGAAGCAAGTGGGCCACTCCAGTGTTAGTATAAGAGACTGAGCCATTTATTCCACCCAAGGAGGTCTTTGTGAAATACTTAGTATATTGTTTTGCCTTTCTTTTGGACCCCAGGTCCCAGAATCCTGCAGACAGAATGCTGATTTGAAGAATCTACAAGTTGTATTCCTCCCAAAACTGTAAGGTTTTTTAAGGCTCTGTTTGAAAGTTGCAAATCTAAGATCTCTCCCTCTTCCCATTTCATTGGTGGCTCATTAATATTAGGAAGAATTTCATGATGGTGAAAAGTGTTTACAAATAGCATGGACTACTGGATGGAGATCTCTCAGGAATGCATTTTTCTATATTGTTCCAGTTAATCCTCTGCTGCCCACTTACTTTGCGGCTTTTAATATGTCCCAGTTTCTCTCTCCTCCTCTCATTTTCCTCCTTTATCTTCAACTTACTTCAACTCAATTGTTGCAATCTGAACTCAAAGTGCAAATTAACTTTCACTCAATCAACACAACAGGTGGGAAGGGACAGAGTTCTGTCCTTTCCAGTTGGGTTTTTTTTTTTTTCAGGTAAGGTAAAGATAAAGGTTTTCCCCTGACATTAAGTCCAGTCGTGTCCGACTCTGGAGGTTGGTGCTCATCTCCATTTCTAAGCTGAAGAGCTGGCATTGTCCATCAGCACCTCCAAGGTCATGTGGCTGACTTGACTGCATGGAGCGCTGTTACCTTCCCACCAGAGCGGTACCTATTGATCTACTCACATTTGCATGTTTTCAAACTGCTAGGTTGGCAGAAGCTGGGGCTAACAGCAGGAGTTCACCCGACTCCCTGGATTCAAATCAGTGACCTTTTGGTCAGCAAGTTCAGCTTGCTGACCAAAGGGGACAGGCCTTTCTAAATTCAGTACATAAACTGAATGATTCCTTTGAGTAAAACAGCAGCTTTCTATATTCCTCCCCATTACTAATTTTTACTTTCTTGTTGTCTGGCTGCAACCTTTTGATCACTGTCTGATGTTGCTTGGCCACAGTGCATCGTAGTTTTCATCTGCAAAATGTTGGCAAGTATAACCCCTGAAGTCTTCCAACTCTGATTTTATGATTCCAGAAGTGAAGATGAGTAAGAGATGCTACCCAGAACCATATCCATTTGGCTCTGCATTCAACGCAGCATGTGTGGAAATGCAATGTACATAATTCACAATCTAAGTACAGAGAAGGGATCGTGACAATTGGAAGCAACTTAGTGTTCAACAACTGATTGAAATATAGCCAGATTTTCTTTACATGTACACCAGAGTACAAAGCAAGTATAATCAGGATAAATATTTATTTATTTATTTATGTCCCCTGTTGTTGCGTATCCCAGTTTAAGTGTTCAACAACTGATTGAAATATAGCCAGATTTTCTTTACATGTACATCAGAGTACAAAGGAAGTATAATCAGGATATTTATTTATTTATTTATTTATGTCCCCTGTTGTTGCGTATCCCAGTTTAAGATCTCTAATTCAGATTCCTGCGCATGTGTGTGCTATTGTCATTTAAACACTGCATTTTTGAGCTGCCTATGGTGTGTATATTTATTATTTATTTATTTAAAACATTTATATTTCACCCTTCTCGCCCCGCAGGGGACACAGGGCGGAGCACGATATATATACGACAAACATTCAATGATGGGACACAAAACCATAAATATATACAAACATTAAAATCACTTATCCACATTAAAATCAGTAGCTTAAAAGCCATCTCAGGACACCATTTTGTCTTATTGCACTGCCTTAAAAGGCTTGGTCCCACAGCTAGGCCTTCACCATCCTTCTGAAGGACAGGAGTGAGGGGGCTGATCTAATATTGCCAGGAAGGGAGTTCCATAACCGAGGGGCAATCACTGAGAAGGCCCTGGCACTTGTCCCCACCAAACGTGCTTGTGCCAGTGGTGAGACTGAGAGCAGGGCCTCCCCAGAAGATATTAGGTTCTACGGTGGTTCATAAAGGGAGATCCATTTGAACAAGTAAACTGGGTCGGGGTCGTTTAGGGCTTTATAGGTCAAAGCCAGCACTTTGAATTGTGCCCAGAAGCAAACAGGCAGCCAATGGAGCTGACATAACATGGGAGTTATGTGCTTCCTGTATGCCGTCTCAGTTATTAACCTGGCTGCCTCACGTTGGACTATTTGAAGCTTCCGAACCATTTTCAAAGGCAACCCCACATAAAGCACATTGCAGTAATCTATCCGGGATGTAACAAGAGCGTGGACCACCATGGCCAAGTCTGACTTCCCAAGGTACAGCTGGTGCACAAGTTTTAATATTGCAAAAGCCCCCCTAGCCACCGTGGCAACCTGAGGTTCCGGTATCAGCAATGCGTCCAGGAGGACTCCCAAGCTGCGAACCTGCACCTTCAAAGGGAATGTAACCCCATCCAGCACAGGCTGTAACCCTATACCCTGTTCGGCCTTGCAACTGACCAGGAGGATCTCTGTCTTGTCAGGATTCAACTTCAGTTTGTTCGCCCTTATTCAGACCATCACAGCAGCCAGGCACCAGTTCATGACCTGGCTCTGGTGGAAAGGAGTAATAGAATTGGA